TTTTGAAAGTGACCACATAATTGGAAGTAAATCACTCTTCAGCATTTGCATAGTATTTCACAGACTTAAATGAAATATTGGTTGGCTGTTTGTTTGTTATTTTCTTCCTTTATTCCTTCCTGTCTCCGCTGTTAAGCATAATTATCTGCATAAAAGAAGTTTTTAACACCTATTTTTAGATTGCATTCCAGCCCGGGCAATAGAGCAAGGCTCCTGTTCTCTATCCCCCTTTCTCTTTCTCTTCCTTTCTTCCAAAAAATAAAAATAAAATAAGATAAGATAATAGAGTACTATTTCTCCCTTGGTCCTCATTAAGATGATACTATATAATATAACATGATTTCCTCAACAACTTTCTTGCAGTTGATTTCTCAGAGCTGTGGGAGACTATTCCTCAAAACAACCCTCACAGGCAAATGACAGCACACAATTCAATAAAGCAAATGATGGAGAAGAAGGTAGGAGGGCCAAGCAAGGGGTTCAGGTACACAGATTTTATTCTATCTAGACTAGCCTGAAATCCAGAGGCTTCATGCATCCACTTGTCTCTGAAACTACAAAGAAAATTTGATATGCATGTCCTTTTTTCTGGGGGATATGTCTGTAGTTTCATAACATTCTCAAAGAGCAGCATGACTCAAGAAAAGTTAAGAACCACTGATTTAAGGAATCAGACTATATATATACATTCTTCACGCAGCCCTCCATAAGCAGTTTATTTTCTGAGCTTCTAAGAAGTGCTGAGCCTCAAGACTGCAGCCCCTGACAAGCGCTTGAAGTACGACTTCTCTCTCATGAAAAATGTGGAACTCACGGCTTTAACCACTGGCCAAGCTGTGTGCCAACTGTCAAAATACCTAAGACCTTTAATAAAGTAATGCCCATGAGCATATGGAGCACAAAACAATCTATTCTTCTAGTTAGTCTTCAGCCATGAACATTAATAGATGTGCCAAAGGATTTGGTGGTATTTCTTCTAGATAGTATAAAAAGAGAAAAACATAGAAACAAACAAACAAAAAAAATCACCACCTTTTGCCTATCAATAAAAATTACAAGCACAAAAACAATGATTTTCCTAGATAAAAATTATTTTCAGCTTAAAAATAATCTTTCTACAACAGTTTATATAATGAGCTCTTTTTTACCTTTTTGTTGTTTTAATCTTGTTATACAAGAAAACAATCACTGCCATAGCTTTAGACACATACACATACAGTGAACCATCCGCACGCAGTATCACGGTTAGAATCAAGGGAGGAAGCTGGCCTGTAGGACCACTGAGATAAGGGTCTTTAAATTTCATGCATCTAGAAGAAGCCACAGCCCTACAGTGTCTGGTCCTCAGCATAACAAGTTCAGAGACCTATCTTTGCCAAAGAATTCACAGTTAAATATGCTGAAGAGAACTAACTCATGGTAAATCAAATCGTAAGATGCTAATACCAATGTATTAATCACTGAGAATATTCCTTTTGTCTAGTAAGAAAATTTATACCTGAAGCCATGGCACAGTTTTCTCAGATATCTGGAAAACCGAAATCCTGAATTAGTAATCCTAAATCCACTGAAAGTTAGAACATTGAGACATAGAGAGTTTGAGGGATACCTGACAAATTATCCCTGCCCTACATATATCTTTATAGTGATCAAAGGAAGAGTCTTCCTTGAATACTGCTGCCCCAACACTGCAGACTTCTTGGTCTTCTTGGCCTTTCTTCTTCCACATCCTTCTCTCCATTAGGTGCTTCTTTAGACATGGTATAATACAACTGATGAGGGTGCACCTTACATACATTATTATCCCTGTTTTTAGGTAAGGATAATCATGTCTCAGCAGCTTGCCCAGTCTTGCAGCTAGCATAAGGCAGAACAGAGATTCAAAGCCAGATCTCAAGTCAAAGCTTATGTTTCTAATCTTGAAGTAAACAATACCTTCAAGGTGTTTTTTCCGGGGCCTTCCCACCTCCCAGTTTGATTTAAATGCCCCTCCTCTGTGTTCCCATAACACTGTGAGTACACCATGACTATAATTTTTGACATAGAGTTCTCTCTCTCTCACTAGACTGAAACTTTTTGAGGATAGGGGTTATATTTCATTCACCCTTGTATCCCCTGGGCACCGCCTATCTAGGTAAATATTCAAGCTTATTTGTCCAGTGGTTTCACATAGAGATCAACAAACTGAAGGCCTCCAGCTAACCACATAGCCTTAGGAAGGTCACACTTCTCCAGCTATCAGCATCTCAGCTTAAAAGAAAAAAAAGGGGGGAGGATAAAATTGATATACACAGATGAAATGGATATACAAGGATATACAAGGTCTCCTTTGCATCTAAAGAGCACTACAATTGTAGATGGGCCTTAGTTTTTGATGGCCTATCTTATTAGTGGGAATTATTAGAAATAAAATTAAACTCCTCATTTACCTTCTGTACCATTCTAGAGATAGAATACACATAAATAATAGAAAGTTCAGAAAAAGCTTCCTCTTTCATGATGGGAGCTAACCATCATTTATACTAAAATCAAACATTGGCACCCTCCTCTGGTGAATGGTAAAGGAGCTAAATAACACAAAAGAATTAGATGGTAGGATTCTGAATGATATATAAAGAAAAACAGAGAAATTATCTAATATTATTTGTCACCATTATACTCTCACTAGCAACTAAGTAACTCCTTTCATAGCACTTTCCTTCTTTTGCCCTAAAACAAAGCCAGAATGAACTGGCTACACACAGTGAGAGATTATAGACAGAACAATTATTCTATTTTTAAGAGTACTGATAATCATCAATTATTTTAGATGATGCTTGTTTTTCAATGTAAAGCACATGCTTTACATTGAGAAACAGCATGCTTTTCAATGCAAGGCACAATGAAAAGCATTTTATGGATTGGCTAACAATGATCGTCTTTTCATTTGTTGTTAAAAAATTCAATAACAAGCGATGTACATGTAAAATACTTTTAGTAAAATAAAAGTATTTATCGTGTCCATTTTCTGGATCGTACATTTACTACAAGATAGTACTGAAAAATTTTCAACCTGAACCCTGTTTTGGTCGGCAACTTTCAGGTTTTACAGTTACCAACTTAAAAACAAAAAAATTTAAATCACCCAATCACTTACACTTTTTTAGCCTAAGGCTAAAACTATGCCAATGCATCACACCCAGACAACCACAACCCATTCACCACATTACTACTACAACCAAACCTTTAATAAAACTAAAACTGTGCTTTCTAAGACCAGAAGCAGATTATCATCAGCCAACAATTTTATATATATAATAAATATAAGCTTATTAAATGTTTTACAAAGGAAGGAATCACAACTTCCTTCACCCTCATTGAATTTAGGCACACAAAAAATGAAAATACAGATAGTCTGCCTCAAGCCAAGACAAATGAACATTATACTGGCAACTGTGTCATTAAGGTATGTTTTTGCCCAAGTATGCAGCCTCTTTTCCCTCAATTAACTTAACATCTTTCATTTACCCTGTGACCAAGGGGAGGGAATCCTAACTACCCAAGATGTTACAAATTTACAACCACTGAGAAACTTGCATTCTGAACACCAGAATATAAAAAAGCTAGGGTGGGTGGAAAATGGCAAAAACTGATTTCAGTTCTACCAAATGAGTTTTCCTACTACGTTGGTTCTACAAGGCAAGTAGGCACAGTAGCATGAAATGATTAGCAGAATGGTGGGTGAGGAATGCAGATAAGATATCCAGTTGAAAGCTTTCGATGTTTACCCAAAACAAAGGCCAAGGAACAAGCAAATGCTTGAAAAAGAATGGCAGTCCGTGCAGTTCCCTACAGCCTACCCAGAGACCAGAGGGCAGAGAAGAAAGTTGGGGCGGGGGGGCGGGGCGGTAGGCGACTTGTATAGGAGTGCAGGGGAGGGGTGCAATAAAAAACATAAAGAGGTTAAGAATAAGAAAAGCATGCTGCCAAAATAGAAAAAAAAAAAAAAAAAGAGTATGCAGCAATGAACCCGTTACAAACTGCCAAACTGAGAGATGGAGTGACTGGCCCGGTGTTCTTTGGAGCATGACGCTGGAGCCACATTTGCCTCTCACTTTACTTGGGCCAATGCGCAAGGACCAGAGCCAACGCTTGCCTGACCTCCAGGAAACCTGGGCCCCAGTGCACAACCTGGGTGCCGCAGAAATGTGGGAGAGGGAACTGAACTGGCCTCTAGCTATCTCCTGCTTCCAGATGAACCACAAACAAAGGAATCTAGAAGCAGGGCAACATCTGCACCCCCAAGCCGCCAGAGCGTAAGGATGAGGGCAAGGCACCGCCTCCTTTGCGGGCATAGCCACCTCTGCAAAGGCCAGGGGCATCTAGGTCCCGCTCTGAGATCTTGGTAAAAACAAGAGGACAGCGAGGCGCTCCTGTCAATTGGCCCCATTGCACTTGTAAAGTTGATAGAGTTGGAAAGAAGCGCAGAGATGCCCCTCGGATTCCTCCCTAGAGTGAAGAGAACGGGAAGGAATCACAGCTTTCTTCACTGCGCCCCACTTTGCTCTGCAGATATAGTCTGTTTCTCTAAAGAAGCATAAAAGATATTGTCTTCCTTCTCTGTGCTTAGTTCAGGTCAAACCACAGAACAAGGGCAGTGGGGTCTGGGACCAAAGTTCGCTGGAGATAACATTAATTCTCCTTGCTAAACTAGAACAGTGTTTGCTGGGTTCCAGCCTTGGGAACCTCATGTTAAGTAGCAACAAATATACGGTGGATGTCTCTTCCTCCCCTAACGTGGACCCTCAGTCCCAAGAAGTCTGGAATCAGCAGTGCTTTTGGCAACTTGAGCCGCATTTGTCCAGCCAGGCACCGTGGTGTCATCACCACGCCCCTCGCACCCAGATCCTATCCCGCTGCGCACACGCCGTCCTGTTGTTTACACACACACACACACACACACACACACACACACACGAGACATACACGGACACAAATACAAAGCCCCGGGGAGCTCCTACCTCTCCCCCGTGCCCGTCGAATATCCCGAAGATGGACGGGTGCGTCTTGTTGGCCAGATCCGTGAGAACTTCGAAGCGGTCCTCCATGTGGTCTCTCCGTCCCTGGATGGAGTACACCGCCACGTTGTGGCTCTTGAACTCCCAGGTCTTGGAAAACTCGGCCTCCAGCACATCAAGCCCCCCGAGTCGATCGTTCTGCATGATCTCGGCTACCTTGCCCTTCACCATCTTCACGGCGTCCCGGCTAGACTTCACGATGGTCTTCACCTCGTCAGTGTGGAAGAAGTAACTCCACAGCGCCAAGCTGATGCACAGCAGGAAAAGCGTCTCGGGTCTCAGCAAGAAGTAGCGCATGATGCGACCCAGCAGAGACAGCAAAGTCATTGTATCCTCTATCATTTATTATCGCTAGAGCCTCAACCACCAGCAGCGACGCGCGCCTTGAAGGCTCGCCGGGTCCGGGAGCACTGCGGGGACAGCCCGCCAGGAGGGAGGCGGAGCAGTGCCCGAGGGTGGGAGAGGAGGCTCTAGGACCCCGGCTGGAGGCAGCAGAGCCGGCGGCTCCGAGCCGGCAGCGCGAGCAGAAGCGGCTTCCCTTTTGTCTCCCCGCCTCAGCGGCCCGGAGGCCCGTCCCTGCCGCCCGCGCCGCCTCCCCTCCCTGAGCCCCTTTGTGAGACCGCGGCGGCGGCGGTAGCAGCAGCCGCCGCAGCAGCAGCCGCGGGTGCCCCGGTTGGGCAAGAGGAATCAAGTTGAAGTTGCGCCGGGCGAGTCTGCCGCGTTAAGCGGGAGAGTTCAGGGGCGCCTGCGCCCGCGAGGCCCCTCCGGGAGTGCCCCTTCAAGACTCCGGGGAACGAGCAGCAGGTGAGGCGCAGGGCTCCAGACCCCGGCGGACGAGGGATGCACGTCCCCTCGGTCGCCGCCGCTGGGGAGCGCGGAGATGGCCGAACGCTCCAATTCCTTCACACACCCCCTGGGGCCCCAGATAATAAAAGTTTTGCGGGAGCCTGGGCAGAAGCAGGGGTACGCGGAGCCAGGCGACGCGGCACGATAGGCGCTGAGCCGCAGGCGGCCGGCTGGGCTCTGCCAGCCTCTCCCAGGCACCTTCCGGCTCGACTCGGCTCGGCTCGGCTTCACTCGCGCGTTCCCTCCTCGCCTCCCGGCTCGCGCGCGCTCCGCCCCGCGCGCGCTCGCCCCACCCCGTCCCGCCCCTTGAGTCCAGACTTGACACCCCGAGGTGTTCCCACCGAGCTGTCAAAGGCTGAGCAAGTTCCGCGGCTGTCAGTTCTCGCTTGCAGCCCTGGGCTGTCCAGGCCACCTTAGGGGGAGAAAAGACAGAGGTCCCGCTGCCTAGCTCTTGCGGATGGTCGTCCCTTCCCCCTGCGCCGGCTCCTAAGCCAAGCTAATCCCGACCCACGTAGTGTTGGCGTTGGTTTTCCAGGAACCTCTGGTGCTCACTAGGAAGCCGAGAGCCGCACGTGCGTGTTCCCCCCTTCGGCAGCTGCACGATAGTGCGGTCCCCGCTTCGCAGGCCTAAGGCAAGCGAGAAGGGACGCACTTCTCCCGGCTCGCAAAGCGATGCAGGGAGGCTATCGGGCCGCGGGGCGCAGTCTCGGCATTCAGCCACAAAGGCCTGCCCGGATCTCTTGAGAGTCTGAGAGCGAGCCTGGGGTCTAGCAGCCTTGTCCCTCCCGAGAGCAGCAGAATGGTGGACTCAACAGAATGACTTCTGTTTCCCCAAGGAAGTGCACTCTGACGATAACTTCGGGAGGGACAAAGAGGGCCGCTCTTTATGAGAGCTGCCACAGCCCCTGGAGCAGGGGACTCAGTGGCCACCAAGGCCTTCCCTGCTCGCGGCCTTTCCACGAGGAGGCACTAAGCTTCCGATGGGGGCTCCAGGGCGCTCCTGACTCTTCTACGGGGCGAGGGCTCTGACTCTGCAGTTGAGGTTTGAAGGCCCTTTGGAAGCTCGGAAGTGGCGGCCTCCTACCACCTCCTCGGTCAACGCAGGAAGAAGGCGCAGTGGGGGCGGGAATCGAGATGAGCGGAGAGGAGCCGCCACGGAGAAGAGTGCGGGCTTGCAGGAGCCGCCCGGGATAACTCGAACTGTGGGCAGGCAGGTGCCGGTGGGCCTTGAAGGTGAGAAAGCACGAGAAAAGAACAATGTCCGCTTCAGCTTAGAATACGTTAACAATGAGCTTTAAAGGAAAATACTCATTCTTATTACCCCTGTTCAGGAAAGAGAGTGCTGATCTGCCTCTTCCAGTCCGCTGGGCTGGAGATCAGAGAGGCTGCCTGATCCCAGCCAATCCAGTGTCTGTCCCGCAACAAACCCTTCTTCCTTGGTATGGTCCCCATTCCTTTCCTCAAAATAATAAATAAATAACAAGAAGTCCTGGAAGGAAATACACTAAAATGTTCCCAGTGGTTAATCATTCATGCAGTAGTAGATTATATGCAGCTTTCATTTTCTGCTTTAGACTTCTATTTTCCACAACTTTTCTAAAGTTTCTACAAAAGCCGTAGATCTCCACTACAAGCAGATGAAACTTCCCCTTCAGTTTTTCTCTGTTCCTCAAATGGTTCCCATAGAAAACATTTGGTTTATGTTGGGGGCACGGTTAGAAACACTAAATTTGGGAACCTGAGTAGTTTCAACATGTGAAAGTATTCACAAAACCTCTCTGTTTTTTACCTCTTAAGATGCTTGATAGGACTACCAGAAAATATTTAGTCACACGGATTTAATTGAGAGTTGATTTCTATATATGATACTTGAGGTAAAGGTTTTTATGCGCCAAAATAAAACTGTTGATCTAAGGTTACAAAGAGGTAAAGGTAAGACATGTTCCATTTCCATGGCACTTTCAAAAGAGTTCCTCTTTCCTAGCTTTTATGGTGCTTTGGTAACCTCCAACATTCATTCATTGCTACCTGAGCCCAAGTTGCCTATGATAGCTTCTTACACTGTAGCCATAACCCAAATTCACCGTGGCATTGCTTGCAAAGTCACTGTTCAGTCCATTGTCTCCAGCCATAGCTGTGCTGATGAGGAACTCCTTAAAAGGCTTCTCGCCTCTCTCCATCTACTAGACGCACACATCACTCTCTCCCAAACTGTTAAACTTCAACAAATAGTTCCCACATTATATCATAATTGTGAAGGATTTTAATCACCACAAACTCCTCATGCCTGTCCTACATATGGAGAAGACTCTTTAGAGCATGTGTGGTCTTGGAGCTCTCAGAGGTTGTCCAGATGTCTTAAATCCTGCTCCTGACACTAAATATACTGTAATTGCTAAGGCTTTGCAGGTGCTTGTCAAGGTCGAGTATAACACTTACTGCTCTGAATTCTAATTACAAGTACCTTTCTATTTCCCAGTCTCTTTCTTCATGAACTATTATTCCCATTTTGACCCTTCTATTCCTAGGTACCTGAAAACTTCTTACCTTATTTTTCTTCTTATGATACAACTCTTCTAATAATTACCAATGGTGTGCAAGTAAATGTTTAACCACCTGCCCTCTAGGAAGAGAAGGTAAAGATTCAGCTCTGTTGTGTTTGCCAATTTCCATGATATAAATCCTCTCACCATGGCTGATTTCGAACTATACCACTGAGCATGAAGTTGGAAATAGTTGCTCAGTAGCCCAGTATTATACAGCATTTCCATCAAATGGACATGTTAGATATAAATAACATCAAGAGCATAAGCAATATCAAAATGTAGTAAAATAGTGAGGAATATTATTACCTTTGTTTTTAATATAGTTTAATTATAAATTTACATAATTTAATTTTAATAGTGCCCATTTTTAACAACAGACTGCTAACACTTTTCTGCTGGAGGAATGTGTGTTCTAGATGTTGTCTATTGAATCTCAAAATCCATTTCTAACCCCATCTAAATTCCCTCCCTTCCAATCACGAAAATGGAAGAACAAAAACTACATTTTCCAGTATCCCTTCCAGCTGGAATTTTTACTGTAATTTAGGTTCTGCTGATGAGATGACCTTGTGTGAGATTTAGAATGCAGAAAAGAGACAGAAACCATTTTTCCTACAGCTCTGCTGGCTGCTGGCCAACCTCTGGCAAACTGAGTGTTTGAGTGGCCAAATTAGGTTCTCTTTCCTTTTATGTATTTATGTATTTATTTATTTATTATTTTTTGAGATGGTGTCTTATTCTGTCACCCAGGCTGGAATGCAGTGACCTTATTACTGCAGCCTCAACCACCTCTCCAGGGACAGGTGATCCTCCTACCCCACTATAGGTGTGCACCACACCAGGCTAAAAATTTTTTTTTTTTTTTTTTGTAATGACAAGGTTTCACCATGTCGCCCAGGCTCATCTAGAACTCTGGGATCAAGCAATTCACCTGCCTTGGTCTCCCAACATGCTGGGATTACAGGCGTGAGCCATGGCACCCCGCCAGGTTCCACTTTCTAGTCTCTAGTTTTGTGAAAATTGATCCACTGCCTAATGACAGCCCTGACTTCAACTCCTTGGAGCCTTACAATGCTTTTGTGAGTACCTAATTTCCTATATTGAATAACTTTCTTCTTCAATAACCTAATGTGTTTTTGTTTTCTGCACCAAACCCTCATATAACATGTGTTGTTGGCGTCTGCTTGTTTCTTTCTTGCAACATCCAAAAGAAACATCAGAATCATCACCAGCACAGGTCTAGTTAGTCTGTTTGCCTGTGTAGTTTTTCATTCTAAATGTTCTCTGATGGTAGTTTCAATTAATTCACATTCTGAGATTATGCTGTGGCATTAATCAATTACTACTCTTTATAATTTTTTTTGTTAGATCTACAAAAAGTCAAGAAAATGAATGATCAGTTTTGTGAGGAGAGAAGGAAAGTATTTATTGTTATTACTATTTTTTATAACATCAGAGACCTGGTACTGAAGAATGACTAGTCACTTTTTTTGGTTGGTTTTTACGTTATACAACCTCTTTGGTCTACTGGAAGGCAGCCATATTTCAGGGAAAGACAAACAAAATTGCTTTTTTCTTTTAAGAACAACTGGAGAAAGAAATTGTGGACTTTCCTTTATGAGCCCAATACATACAGTATTTTACATCTTTTTTCTACAAGACAATATTCCTTGCAACTAATCAACATCTCTCTTTCCACTTTGGTTTTGTTTTGTTTTCAGTTTGGGGTGCAGGGAGAGGGGGAGGGAAGAGATTCTAGGTAACAGAAAATCGTATTATTCTGAAATAGAATCTAGTTTTCACTTGTTTTCTATTCACATCGCTTTTATCCTTACGGATTTTAACCTTTTATTCAGGTCTCCCTTCCGGTCATATGTTTTATTTTGTTTTTGCAGCAAACCCTTAGCTTGCTGGAAAAACATCTCCTTGCCAAATTTCTTTTAACCACAGAGCAGTTTTTGCTACTGAAGGAAGTCTTCTGTTTCAAACAAAATAAAATAAACATGTAATTATCTTGAAGGCAAAAGTCTTTATATATTTTTTCAGCTATTCCTTTAGTCTTCTCATCTCATTTCCTCTGCTCTCTCTATGCCTGATAATGCATTTGTTTATACTGAGTTACTATCATCTATACAGTCTGATGATAGACACCATGATGGCTCAGCATGCTTTACCGTCTCTCACAATGTCTGTTTAGAGAATAGCAAAATCTCTGAAGCAATGCAATATGTAAAGAAGGCTATGGATGGGCAATAGAATGTTCTTTGCTTACCTTGCAGATTAATTTACTGATTTGTTTTATTTGAGTTGATGGAATCAAACCTAAGCAAATAATTTAGAATCAAAGGTAATTAACTAAACTGTTTGTAATAACCCAAAAAAATGAATGGCCTAATTTTGAATTAGCTCACCTCAAGGAGAAAAATATTCAGGGGGTGGGGAGAATGTGACATTATAGAAATAAGAGAAAATCAGAATTTTTCGAGAAAACTTAGCTCAACTATGAGAACAAAAATGATTTTAATTTTAAAGTAAAAATGAAAAGGACATACAAAAAGAAGGCATAAGAACGCATGCCTTAGTAAATTTTGAATTTTCTCCACGTTTCACTGAAATCCCTTTTCTCTCATTCTGTCACCCTAGAACTTTCCATCTATGTCCAAGAAAGATATCAGTTACAATCTTTACTAACTCCTAAATACATTTTTTGTAGTCAGACCTCTCTTCTGTGTCCAAATAGTAAACATTTCTGCCAAAGTAATTTCAAAGTCAACACATTGAAAACCAAGCTGATGGCCCCCTCAGGTGTTCTCTCTCTCTCAGAAAATGGCACCACCCATCTCCATTTGCGCTAGCCAGAAACCTAAGTTACTCTTCATTTCTCCATCTTCCTCATTTTCCATAACCAAATCACCAAACCCTGTTGATTTTACCTCCAATAAAGCCAATCTGTGAGCACCAGTATGTGCACTGCTTTCTACTTACCTCTGTTATCATAACTCCAGTTGACCGTCACTTCTCACCCAGACCACTGCTACAGGCTTCCCATTTATTTCTCTGTAGACTGTTTTGCCTTCTTACAATCCACTGTAAATATAGTAGCCAGAGAAGATATCTGGTGTAGGGGGGATGGATGTGAGATTATAAAAATAAGAAAAAATAAGAAATTTGTGACTTTTTAAAGTCACAAATCGAATCCTGCAACAATCTTACTTAAAAACTTTAGAAGACTTCTCATTGCTGTTAGAATAAAGACAAAAAAATCTTTACTGTGAACTTCTTCTCTTCAGCCTATTCCATGCCACCTCCTACCTCAGCTTATCCTCTTCAGCCACTTTGCTTTCTTACAGTTCCTATAAGGCACCAAACTCCCTCCTGACTCAGGGCCTTTATTCATGCAGTTCCATATAGCTGGAATACCAACTTTCCCTAGCCTACCCTCCCACTCATACTCTTCCTAGTTACCTGTTATCCCTCAGATCTTAGCTCGTACATCATTCTCTCAAGAGCCCTTCCTGACTCTGCAATCAAAGTGAAGTCCTTCTTGCCCTTTCTCATGGCAACCTTTACTTTTACTTCAGAGTGCTCATCAGAATTGTCATCATGTATTTGTTAGGACTTTTTAAATCAATGTATTTTTTCCCATTCTCACTAGTTTATATGTTCCTTGAGGGCAGGAACTGTGTCTGTTTTATTCTCCATTATAATCCAAGCACCAATAAAATCCCTGGAGTATAGTAGACATACTATAAATATATGTTCAAAAATGAATGAAGGTAGTTATTCTGAAATCATTATTTCAGCTCCACTCAAAGTCTCTCCAACATTGCTAGTAATTAGCGACACTCATTAGTGTGATTTTGAATCATGAATAGCAACAAAAAGAAAAGTCAAAGACTAAGTCACCCATGAATAGTTGGAGATTAATTTTAATAGCAGACAGAAAACATTAAAGGCCTTACAGATTTTTTTCATTTCTAAATTTTTTTTACATTCTTGCTCACTTTGTCTTAAGACTAAGCTTACATTACAGACAGAGGGAAATTCTTTGCAAGAACAAACGTCTTTACAAAATAGATGTCTTTG